CGCATCTGATTATTTTTGGATGTAACTATGTCCAGAAATTTATTTTATTTTTTATTTTATTTTTAATAATGCATTATTTTAGGCAGATGTAGTTGCACATCGAGAAAAACTCTCGGATGTAGTTACATCTTTCTAAAGATGTTATTATACATCAATGAAATTTCGGATGTTGTTGCACAGATATTAATTCAGTAAAGAAAAAAAGCGGATGATCTTACACAAAAATGTGCGGATGTTATTTCACTACTCCACGGATGTTGTTGGACAGATGTAGTCATCTTTTCCCATGATGAGTACTATAAGTTTTTAGGTAGCAAGTTCCACTGTCTCACTGCCTCTTGCATGCTTAATAAAAGGAGGGTGGGAATTTTAGTCCAGATCTAATAGTCAAGGAGAAGAGAATTTTTTTACAAAACGCAAATAAAACAGTTTAATTTTTGGGTGGCTTGCAGTCAAATGCACATTTTATAACACCTGTTTCATTATAATTTCAGTAGATTTTAATATGCTTATATTAAATCCTATTATAAAAGTAAAAATTAATAATTGGTGGGATCTTGATAAACTTGGGATGGATGGAAAAAATTTCTGAAAAGAAATTTTTTCCATCCCAAGCTTTTAACTTTGTTTTATAAATTTGTTTTAGTCTCATTAAAAACACACTTATACAGATTTTTTCTACAAATTTAGTAATTCTTTTCAAAAGCGCTTAATTCTTATAAATTTTAATATCTGATGTCACTCTAAACTTTTGCCGACTTATAAATTTTCATTGTTCAAGAAATTTTTAACTTTTCAGTTGTTTTTTTCCTAATTTTCTAAATAATTTGTTTTGCTTATTATATTTTCTGAAAATCACATTTTCAAAAAATGATTAAATATATTTAAAACTGCTCATTGATAAAAATTCATTTTTTTTTTCAGTATTCATTGTATGGATATAGAAAAAGATCAATGTTTTATAAAAAAAAAAAAATTTAATTAATGCAACTAATATTTAAAATTCTTGTTTCATAAGGCCGGGTGAATAAAAATGAGCAATTGCTTTTACTTAGTAATTGGTCAGCTTTACGTGAATAAAAACATTAGAAAATTGGCTCAAATTTTTATTCACGTAAAGTTAACCAATTTACTTAGTAATTGTTCGGCATTACGTAAATAAAAACTTAGAGAAAATTGCTTTAGCTTTTATTTACCTAATATGATAAATAACAATTAAAAGCTAAAACATTAGAAGATCTTGAGATTTCAAAATCAAAAAATATTTTTTATCTTTACTTTTTAAATAAATTTATTACTAAAATGCCAATAAGTTTGTTTAACTAATTGCACTGGGCAACAAAAATATATATATTTTTTTGTATCTTTAGCAATTTTATTCAAATTATACTAATTTTGGGCTGAGAAAAAAGAAAATAACAACAAAATTTTTTTATTATCTCTAGTTTCTTAGATATACAATGGAAATAAGTTTTTATTTTAGTTAATTTTCAACAGAACAATATGACATTTATTTACATATTCTAATAACATTTAAAGAACATTTTTTTTTTTTATTACAAATATATTCTAATAGTTTTAAACAAAGAAATCATGATCATCAAGTTAATAGGTTTAAAGATGATTATGGGGTATCGAGATCGTGATCTTTTTGCTTTCCTTTTGTAGTTCTGTAGCATCCCTACACACAAACCAACAGTTATCTGCAAGTATAACCTCATTCCAATAATAGAAATTACTTGGTAAAACCTTTTCCCCATGTTCATCACTAACAGCTCCACATTTGGGGGGGGGGGGGGGGAAGAAGTCTAGGTGTGAGTGGAGAAATGAATCTTGGGGGACATGTTACATCCAAGTTGATGGTATTTTTGCAGAAGTATTGTTACCAATTAAATGTAGTTATCATCTCTTTTGTTGCCTAAAAATCCACAAATCACTCCCTTAAGAGCTTCCCAAGTTTCCTTTTCTTGCCCCTTCAAAACTTTGTCAAATGCAGGATCCTTTATAAGCTGGTGTATTTGTGGTCCAACAAAAATACCCTCTTTAACTTTTGCATCACTTATTTTTGGAAATTTGTTTCTTAAATACATAAAAGCCTGTCCTTCTATGTTCATACCTTTGACAAAATTTTTCATTAAACCTAACTTAATATGTAATGGTGAAAGAAGAACATTTTTGGATCCACAAGTGGTTCAGCAATAACATTTTTTTCTTCTTTGTTGAGATTTCTTGCAGTCTTCTTTTATATGTGAACTTCTGTCTCTACTTTTATATGTGAACTTCTGTCTCTACTTTCCCACATACACAAAAAGCAGCAGTATTTAGTATACCCTAATTGCACTCCTAAAAGTATAGCAATGACTTTTATATCAACACAAATTTTCCATTTGTGTTCATCGTAATTAATTGAGTTGAGGAGAACTTTCATGTTTATATAATTCTCTTTCATGTGAACTGCATGGCCAATAGGAACAGAAAAAAGATGGTTTCCGTTGTCCAGTAATACAGCTTTCAAGCTTAGCTTAGATGAGTCTATGAAAATCTCCATTCAGTTGGGTCATAGTTCAAGTTAAGACAATACATTAATCCAAAAACATAAATGCAAACAATAAGATTATTTTTCTTCTCAAAAAAAGAAATCAGAATCCGTTTTGTATAATGTGAAACCTTGACATCAAATTGGAGAAGGTTCCACTGCTTTAGTCTTGACCCTAGAAGTTCTTCCTTTTCCTGTGACAAGTCCAGATCTTGAAAAAGATCACTTAATTCTGTTTGATTCAATCTGTGCGGCACAACATCTGTTACCACAAAGTCAGGATCATTTGATGTGGAAGGCCTGTTTTCCTCTTTTTCTTCTATTTCTACTTCATTTTCTGCTTTTAACTCACAACTTTGTGGTGGAGTAGGAACTGGTAAGCTATCTAAATGTGGAATAGGTCGAATGGCAGATGAAAGATATGGATATTTAACTTTTCCTATTTTCTTCATTGACAAACCTGCCTTAATGGGTGGGTTCAAGCAGAAATAGCAGTTATCTGTTAGGTTTTTAGGTTCTCTCCATACCATAGAAACAGCAAAAGGCAAAGATCTTTTTTTATTTTTCATCCATTCTTGTAGTGTAACCAAACAAGAACTACAGCATATATGTGGACCATGACTTATCCTGGTCCCCTACCTTCATATCAAAGTAATGCTGGTAAGCAGTCTGCACAAGAGGTGGCAATGTTCTTTTCCATGAGGAAAATGTTATTTCACCACAAATGTAACAAAAATTTACCACTAAATTTACACACTTCCTTGGCATGTTGATTTGTAAAATTTTACACTAGTAAATGAAATAAAAAACTAAGAATATAGATTAGACCAGAAACTGCAAACACACATAACTAGTATCACAAGTTTTAAACATAAATCAAAATATTATGGGTAGTCAAAAACAAAAATTTCTTTTTTCAAAAAATGAAAGTTTATACTCTTGCAAGAGTGGAATTAAGCGATTGCTATTTGCAAAATCTGGAAAAATATCTGGTCTTCAAATTTTTAGTTTATGCAAAGCCATGTACTTCGTTTTCAAGGAGCAAATAATTATAAATTTGTTTGCGAAAAAGTTGTAAAAAACAAAACAGTAAACTTACGATTACAAATGTAATAACACTCCAGTCACTAACTGTATTATATAAGTAATAAAACTATAATAGTGTTATTATTTTTATAAAGCACTTTAAAAGTTCATTCTTTGTTCAAACATTGTTCATTAATTAAACTTTGTTCATTAGTATTTCCAAACTTTAATCAAAGTAAAAAAGCATCTAAAAAAATAAAGTATAATATAGTAGATAATCAAATATTATTAAAAGCTTTTACAAATACACTTAACAACTTTATATAAACTTATTCATAATGCTAAACTTTATGAAAAGTTTAGCATTATGAAAAACGTTACTAACAGTCTGTAAAAATGCTCGCAAATTTTAACTAGAGCTAATATGTCATTTTTTAATTCAGCAGATGGAAATACATAAGAAATAACTAATTTTGGTTCCGATACAAATTCACTGTTGTGCAGTGTTGTTAGTGAAAAAAATTACTTGAATTTTTTAAAATAAAAATAAGAAAGCAGTATCCTATGTTTAATTAGATTTTTTTGTTTTATTGAAAATCTACAATGACATTTTAAAACTCTTAGAAATTAAATATCAGAATTTAACAAGTCTGTAGATTGTTTTCTGTAAAAGTACATATATTATAAAGACTTCAGAATGAGACTAGAATACCAAAAGCAAAATTCTTTTGTACACATCAAGGTTATTTTTTTTGTTACACATTAGGATAGGGTGAAAATTACCTTTTTCAAAAAATTTGTGTTACACCCCTAAGATGGTTCTATTCAATAAAATAGATAATTAACACTGGATTTTTTTAATATAAATATTATTATTTTAGATTTTATTGCATAAAAACTATTGTTTTTTAACATTTTTTTTAAAAGTTCAGTTTTTTTCATGTTTTTTTGAATAAACTAATTTAAAATATTTTTTTTTCAAAAAAATGATTTCTATTTTGGTAATTTAATGAAAAATTAACTTAGTTTTGACTTTACATGATTAAATTGTTTTTAATATATGTTTCATTTTAAATCTAAAAAAAATTGATTACTTTCAAACAAACCATAAAAAAAATTATTTTATTTTTTTTATTTACTCCAAGTATTTAGTCTAATTTGAAATAATAAAAATATTGCTGGTGTTTCATGAGGTCTCATACACTTAAGCATAGAACAGGTCTAATGGTTGGGTAAAGTTTTTGTTATATTTTATTTGACAGTGTGAATTAGTTACTTTTCGTAATATCTTTAAAATCTAGTTAAAAATTAATGATATTTCTAAAGTGAAATTTGATTTTTTGTTTTTGTTAAGATTTTTAACTTATTTTAAAATTGCAACATAAACTTTTAAAACTATTATAATGTTAATTGTGAATTTTAAAAATGTTTTATTTAGAATGCTTCTCACACTTCAAAAATTGACTAAGGTATGAATATTTTTCTGACTGTTGGTATGATTTTAACAATGAATATTACACTTGTTCACAATTTTTACTAAATTTATAATTATTTCTAAATTAATCTAAATTTAAATAAATAATTTGTCATTAAATGTTTATCATAATGGTTTTACAATAGCAAATCGTTCAGTTGTAAAAGCTGACCTCTGATCAACCTATTTAGAGAATTAATTTGTTCACCACATTTTGCGTTTCATAACTTGTATCTTGTACATTATGAGATATTTTTAAATTAAATATAATTTATTATCAATTTAACTACTAATTTATTATCAATTTAACTACTAATTTATTATCAATTTATCTACTTACCAATATGCTTTATACAATAGTAAATTATTTAGATTAATTTAAGACCACACAGGTAAAACCACATATGTCCACTTTTTGAAAATTTTAAGTTTTATATATTTTCATGATATTTTAGTACTAAGCTCTTTTAATTTAAAAAATTCATAACAAAAAAACTGTGTTTTTAGGTTCTATGGTCATTTAAAAAAATGGCCAACTTTGAAACAACCACTGTTGTCCAATGTTTACCGGGTAAAAAACACAGTTGTCCAAGTTATTTATAACTAAATGATGATAAAAGTCTAAGTCGCATGACTAACTTTTTAACTTAATTTTCTAACTAACTCCAGATGAAGTAAACAACATTAGGTTCACAGAAAAACATTATATATATATATATATATATATATATATATATATATATATATATATATATATATATATATATATATATATATATATATATATATATATATATATATATATATATATATATATATAAAATTAGTTTATATATATAAAATGCTTTTTTTATAAAGACAAAAGTTTTCTCTTGAATTATTTTTATTTTAATTCACAAGGTGTACCTTTTGTATCCTAAAAAAGTAGAAAATGGACTAAATAATATTCTGATTCTGATCTTTTTAATTGTGAAGTAATTTGCTTTGATCCCCCCCCCCCGACCCCCCCCCAAAAAAAAAAAAAAAATAAGCCTAAACATTTGACACCAATATGTTTAGGCTATTCCAGGCAATACCTGTTTAATTTTTTTAACACTAATATACTTTTAATTCAAAAATTATATTTTTATTTCTATGATGAAACTGTTGGAAACAGATGGCCTAATGTTGTATGTTCTATGCTGCATGATCTGTACTGCATGATTTTAAATTATCAATTGTCTCAGGTGTAGGAATATCAAATTGATTTGCAATTTATGTTCTAGGCAAATGACAAAATAAAAAGTTTTAAATTGATTTTATTATCTAGTTTATAAAACTGAAAAACTTGACAGCAATATTTTTTCATTACCAATTAGAACTCAGTCACATTCTGTATAGGCATTATACCTCTATAAAATTTGAGACATTGGTCATTGCAAATCAAAAGTTTCTTGCAGAAACACTAAACAATCTCACAAAAAACCATAACAATTCAATATTGTATATAAACATGATAGAAGAAAAATTTTTGAAATTTGCAGAGTTTCAAAGCCAAACTTCTTGGTTGTTTGTTCATTTAAGACATGTTCACTTAGAGAAGATGAAATATTAAAATGTGTTACATCCCATATGTTTAGATAAATGATCGAAGGGCCTGATAAACTGAAACAAGTATACATAGCTCTGTTGCCTTTTTTTGTTAATAATTTAAAGATTTACTAAATCTAAACATTTTCTAAATGGACAAAATAAGGCATTATTTGATCTTATTTGATCTTTTTTTTTCAATTTATTTTATTATTCTTTGAAATTAAAAACAAAACATTTTTATTTATGTTGTGTTCACAATTGGTTTTTGTATGGTTTATACAAACTTGATATAAAGTGATGGAACACAGACATCATGGAATCATCTGTGGTAAATATATGAAGTTGGGGAAGAGATAAGGTTGCAATGCTATTTTGTATAAAGTTAAAAAAAACTTTCATATAATATTTTGTTTGAATTTTTTTTATCAAAAGAGGAGGGGGGGATATTATCCCATTACACACTTAGTACATTGTAGTTGTATATTACTATGTGTTACCATTAACCTTTAAAAAAATAAGTGCTCTAAAATGTTACAAGCTAACGTAATTTATAAATTGATGAGTTTATAATGGAAAAACCTTCTACAGTAGAAGAGCATTTATAGGAATGTGTTCATTATTATTCTGTAATTAACCATATTTTTTGTGTAAAATTAATGTACCCTAGTAAAAATTAAAGTTGCTTTATTATGATAGCTGGAATGGAATAAGCTTTTAATTAAAAGTTTTTACGATTTTCATTTTTACCAAAAATAAAGTAACAAAAACTATAAAACACAAAAAACCACAATCATCACCAAGTTCGCTAAATCTATCATTCACCAATATTCGTGGTCTTCGAAGTAACTTTTCTTCTGTTGAGTCTTATCTCTTGCAAAGTTCACCAGACCTGCTTGCTCTTTGTGAGACTAATTTGAGTTCAGCTGTCTCATCTTGTGATCTTAGTGTTGATGGTTATCTTCCTTTAATTCGTAAAGACTCCAATAGTCACATGCTTGGCCTGGGCATTTACATTTGTAAGAATTCACCCATTTGTCGGGAAACTAGGTTTGAATCCACAGGCTACTTTTTTATGTGCTTTCCTTTAGCACCACTTCACTCTATCACCTTTCTCTTTGTTCTATATCACTCTCCCTCATCCCAAGACTGCACTCTTCTTGATGTTATTTCTGATTATATTGACCAAGCCCTCATTCTTTATCCATCAGCCAATATTGTTGTTGTCGGTGACTTTAATGTTCATCACACTGAATGGCTTGGCTCTAGTGTCAGTGACTCTGCGGGCATTAAGGCCCACAACTTTTGTCTTTCTCAATCCCTAACTCAAATAGTCAACTTTCCAACTCGCTTTCCAGACAACCCGAATCATTTACCTTCTCTACTCGACTTATGTCTTGTTTCTGATCCTAGTCAGTGTTCAGTTTCTTCACACTCACCCTTAGGTGCGTCTGATCATGGTTTGGTCTCTCTAAAACTATTATCTCATTCTTCTTTACCATTAGAATCCCCCTATCATCGTACATCTTACAACTACCTTAAAGCTGACTGGGACTCTTTTCGTGACTTTCTTCGTGATGGCCCCTGGGTAGAAATCTTTCGTCTCCCTGTTGACAAATGTGCTTCTTACATAACTTCGTGGATTCAGGCTGGCGTGGAATCCTTTATTACCTCTCGACGATTCCAGGTCAAGCCTCACTCTTCTCCATGGTTTTCCTCACATTGTGCTGCTGCAATTGCCAATCGAAACCATTACTTCCATATCTATCAGCAAAACAATTCTCCAGAAAACAGACGTCTCTTTATTACTGTTAGGAACCATTGTAAAAAGGTTTTGTCTAACGCTAAAACCCGCTATTCTCAGATCATGAAATCTCGTATTTCATCACAAAAATTAGGCTCTCGTGACTTCTGGAGAATCTTTAATAGTATCAATAATAAGGGCAAGTCTGTAATTCCACCTCTTTTGTACGGTTCAGACTTTGTCACCTAAAGACAAAGCTGAATTGTTTGCCAAGAACTTTTCATCAATATCATCTCTTGATGCCACTAGTTGCGTTTTACCTGATATACCCATCAAACAGGTTGATCCATTGCTCGACATTCGTATCACTCCAGCTTCTGTATCTAAAGTGATTACCCGCTTAGACTCTTCTACAGCTTGCGGCCCGGACAACATACCTGTTATAGTCTTGCAGAAGTGTTCTCCTGAGCTGTCGTCTATCTTTTCAAAACTATTCAACAAGTGCTTATCAGAGTCTTGTTTTCCAGCCTGCTGGAAAGCAGCATCTGTTATCCCTATTTTTAAAAATTCTGGAGAGCGATCTGACTCATCTAACTACCGTCCCATTAGTCTTCTTCTTATCATAAGCAAGGTATTTGAATCTTTAATTAACAAACACTTAATCTTTCATCTCAAATCTCATAATCTACTTTCTGATCATTATTATGGATTTCGATCTTCTCGTTCTACGGCTGATTTGCTATCAGTAATAACCGATAGGTTTTATCGCGCATTAGATAAAGGTAGAGAGGTTAAGGCCATTGCTCTTGACATTTCTAAAGCGTTTGATAAAGTTTGGCATGCTGGTCTCCTCCATAAGCTTTCTTCTTATGGTGTATCTGGAAACATCTTTAAGATTATTGAATCTTTCCTTTCCAATCGTAGTATAAAAGTTGTCCTTGATGGACAGCACTCTTCTTCTTATTCTGTAACCTCAGGGGTTCCCCAAGGTTCAATCCTTGGCCCTATACTCTTTTTAATTTACATTAACGATCTTCCAGATATTCTCACATCTAAGGTGGCATTGTTCGCTGATGATACTACCATTTATTCTTGTCACGATAAGAAGCCAACTCCCTCTGATTGCTTGCAGGGGGCATCTGAGCTCGAAAAGGATCTCACTTCTGCTACAGCAAGGGGCTTGCAGTGGCTGGTGAACTTTAATTCAGATAAAACTCAATTTTTTTGGGCCAATCGTTATCGCAATAATTTAGACCTTCCTATATTTCTGAACGGTAATGTACTGGATGAGTCTCCTACCCTTCATCTTCTAGGATTAACTCTTACTTCTGATCTTTCTTGGAAACCTTATATCAAATCCGTTGCAAAATTAGCATCTGCTAAAGTTGCTTCTCTTTATTGAGCTCGTCACTTTCTTACTCTGGATTCTATTCTCTATCTCTATAAATCTCAAATCCGGCCTTGTATGGAATACTGTTGCCATATTTGGGGCGGATCTTCTAATGATGCCCTTTCTCTTTTAGACAAGGTGCAAAAACGCATTGTAAACATAGTTGGACCTGCTCTTGCAGCCATCCTTCAACCTCTGTCACATCGTCGTAATGTTGCTTCTCTTGTCATAATGTTGCTTCTCTCTTTTCTACAAATTTTATAATGGGCACTGCTCTAAAGAGCTAGCGTCTCCTGTGCCATCTACTAAAATTCATTCTTGTGTTACTCGTCATTCAATTAAGTCTCATCCTTTTTCTGTTACTGTTCCTAAGTGCTCCAAAAACTCTTATTCGTCTAGTTTTTTCCCTCGAACATCAGTTCTTTGGAATTCGCTTCCTTCATCTTGCTTTCCTGATTCATATAATTTGCAATATTTTAAGTCGTCTGTCAATCGTTATCTTGCTCTACAATCTTCATCTTTTCTCTTCCAGTTCTAATTAGTGGTTTCAACACTAATTAGTGGTTGCTTGCAACCTTGTTGGAAGCAAAGATAATTAAAAAAAAAAAAATTGTTGGGTAATTCCATGTCAATTGACCCAGGTCACCATACATTTCAGATTTTGCTAATTTTTATACATTTAAGAATACTTAGTAAAACAAGATTTCTTTGAAAATTTTAGCTTCTGGCTCCAAAAAGATTCTAATATAAAACCATTTTATTTTTAGACTTTTATTGGTTTGTCTTCTGATATAAAACTTTTTATTTTTAGGCTTTTATTGGCTTGTCCCCTCAGAATTGCAATCTTTATTTAGAGGTTTCAAATCACATAACTTTAAAAATATTTGATCTTTTTACTTAAAAATTTGTACCTGAGTATTTTCAGGGGTGAGGAATCCAATAAAACAATCAGAAACATAAAAATTATTAGTTACCTGTACCTGTTTTTAATTCCCAAGAAATTCATGTGGCTTTGATGATATCAAAAAAAAAATTGTACACATCATATTATCTATATCACAATATACAATATAAACATCATAATATCTATATTCATTGACCTTTCAGAAAACATAAGGATTTTGATCTGCAAGTATATGGATTTTTATATGTGAAGAATTTGGCACAGACCCCACTTTTTTGTATTGGAATATTGCTATTGATTTTTCTCTACCTTCCAGATTAGCTAGAAATTTTTGGAATTTCTGAAGCGCTTATAAATGTGTATATTAAAATTTTTTTCAGGGCCTAAGACACAGAGAGGGGGGGTCTGGGTCACGTGTTCCCCTTTTTTTTAGCGTAATCTTGCAATAGATTTTTCACTACTTCCCAGACAAACTGAAGCTCTGAAAATTTCAGCATTTGTGTAGTCTTTATGAAAATGTGTTAAAATTGTTTCTAGGGCAGACTAACAGAGGATTCATGGGGCCATGGCACCAGGGGTCATGCCTCGTTTTTTTTTTTTTTATGTTAATTTATTTTCTCTAACTTTAGTATCCGGGAGCCTTGCCCCACTTTTTTTTTAGGTTACCTTATTTTCTCTAAAAAAAAATTTTCCTATTTTAACAAAGTAAAGGTAACATTTATAATATTGTCTTCAAAAATTTTTTTGGTTTATACTTGCTTTGTTTTACATTATTATTTACAAAATAAAATGCAAAAAAGTATAGTGTCCTTTGTTGTTACAGGTGCATCAACGATAAAAATTGTGTTGTTAATTAAAACCCAACACTCATTACTTGTTCGTTTAAAGTTAACAGTATCTAGAGGTTCTGGGTTAAATTGATGATAGCTCCTAGTTCCAGGAATTGTTCTTCTTTTTAACTTTTTTTATGATGATGGCAGGTTGTTAATGGCATTAATAAAGTGCAGGAATAAAGTGAGGGAATAGGGTTAAGGGGTTGGAGGCTTCAGTACATGCATCAGTTGAATAGAGAACCTGCGAAGGAGTGCTTTTTACATTAACTGAGGGTTTTGGTTGGAGCAGTGATATAATTAGGGTTAGAATTATATATTTTACTTATTGAAGATTTTTGTATTTTAACTGTTATACCATGTCCATAAACATTTATTCATCTAGGTTTTTTACTGTGCATAAGATTGCTTCGGAATTTTCTCCCATCTCCATATTTTACAGATTTAGTTCACAATTTACAGTTTTTTAAGTCTTCGCTGTTTGATAATATTTTTTGTTTTCAGGTAACTAACTTAAGCTTAAGGTAAATTAAATAGTGTTTGCTTGCCTTTTTGGCAGTAAATTAGTTTAAACTTCAGTTAACCGAAAAGGCATGGATAAAATTGTTAGAAATTACTCAATGACCTTGATATTTGGAATGGAGCAAATTTGATATCAGTATAAAAAAAAAGTCATGGAAAAACTGTTAAGAATTGCATGATGACTCAAATCATCATAATGATTTTGTTAAGCAAAAGACATGTGTAATAAATTTAATAGAAATCATAGGCATTGTATCAGAGGCACTGAATAGTTGTGTTTAGGCATTCATAATATATTTAGATTTTCCCAAATAAAATAAAAATAAAGCAATGAATTCTCAAATTAGAGGCCTTTGATATTAAAGGTAATTACATAGGTGGCTAAAAGCATTTTCTATCAAAAGGAAGAAGACAAGAGTCTGTTTCTGATCCATTACTATTTATACTGTTTATAAATGACA